ATAACAGACCCTCTCGGCGCCTCACCCCTCCCCAGCTCTTGCGCCTCCTCTCCTCCGCCCCCCGTCCACCCCTTTCCCCTCTCCACCTGCACTATCTGCCTCACTGTCTCTCCCACACACGCCACCACCGCTCCCAGCCATGCACTCCCGCCCTTCCTCTCACCCGCTGCCACCCCGCCCCTCCCCCCTTCGGCCTTTCCACCAGTGCCCTCTGTCTTCTCTGGACCATGAGAATCCGAGCCTAGGTCCGAACCAGTGTTCCTGGGCTCGGGAAGGAGGTCTAGGAAGCATAAATCCCACAACACCACTTTCACTAGTTCTCCAGCGTAGATTACCTGTCCTTCTCTCCCACCCTCCTTCTGCTCCCCTCCCCCAACCTCCTCCTCCCCCACTGCCCTCCCCTCCTCTCGCCTCAGCTGCACCACACTCAGCACCAAGCACTCCCTCACACACGTCAGCAGCGCCAGCCAATCAGGCCGCGCCATGTGGACAAGCCGTCCCTGCCAAAGGCTCGTAAAAAAAGGCACCAACACGCCCTGTGATTGGTGCAGCCTGGCTCGGAAGAACACCGAAAGCAGCAGCAGCAGGCACGGGTACGACTGCGCTGCCGAGCCTAAACACCCGGCTCGGAGAAAACCCCAGAGCTTCGGCAGAGCGGATTTAAGAAAGGAAGGGTTGGCCCAGAGGGAGGGGCAGGTGCGTGATGCCACCAGAACCAGCTCCCACATGGCGCCATGGCATGCGGATACCTTCTCCCCCATGGCTGCTGCCACCACTGGCCCCACCTTCTCCACCACCTCCGCTTCCCCCATCACCTCCACTTCACCTTCCCACCTCTCTCCGCCCCCCCCTCCCTCCTGGTTGCCCCCCCTCCCGCTACTCGTCACCACTCCCTCCTGCTCCTGCCCCTGCGGGCCCAATGAGAGCAGGACAGCTGGCAACGTGTGGTAGGCTGCGGAGCGCACGCGGGGGGAGGGGTGTTTGGCGAGGGCGCGGAGGAAGGAGAGGGCGCGCAGGGAGGAGAGCAGCGACGCTGCCATGCGCGGCTGGGCTGCCACCACAGACGGGGGCAGGGCTGCTGGCGCAGCTGCCGCTGCCGCTGCCGCTGCCGTTGATTCTACTGCTGATGGTTCTCCTGCTGCCCCTGCTGCTGCTGTACCTGCTCCTGCTGTTGCTGCTGTCTCCCCACCTGCGGTCGCAGCGCCAGCAGCAGCCCCTCTGAGTGGCCGTGGCGGCAGCAGGGTTTGCAGGAGCGCCCTCAGCGCCAGCAGAGCTGCGCACAGCAGCTGCACGCAGGGGGGGTGGGCGGGCAGAGGATGGGGGCAGGCGTGGATGGGAGCAGGTGGAGGAAGGGCGGGGGCGGGGGGAGGAGGGGGTATATTGATAAGCGGATGGTTGGAACAATAATGGGTAAGATAAATGAACGGAACACTTCTGCAATGGCTATCGCATCCCACCTCCTCCAACCGCATCGCACCTCGTCCAGGCGGTGCTTGGCCTCCTCCACGCTGAGCGAGCGGTCGGCAGCAGCCAGCGACTGCGGGGTGGCGGCCAGCAGCTCCGCCAGCGCGCCCACCACCGCCTCCCCCGCGAATGCCAGCGCCTCCACTCGCCGTGTGGGCGTGGGGAAGGCTGTCTGGAGGAGGGAGGGGGGGAGAAGAAGGAGGCGACAAGTGCGGGATGGATGAGGAGTGCACAGCGGCTGCACCAGAATGGGCAGCAGGATGGGCAGCAGGATGGGCAGCAGGATGGGCAGCAGGATGGGCAGCAGGATGGGCAGCAGGATGGGCAGCAGGATGGGCAGCAGGATGGGCAGCAGGATGGGCAGCAGGATTGGCAGCAGGATGGGCAGCAGGATGGGCAGCAGGGTGGGCAGCAGGGTGGGCAGCAGGGTGGGCAGCAGGAGGAGACGAAAGCTGGTAAGCCTGTGACGCACCTGGAAGGAGAGGGAGGCGGCAGCAGCGACGTCACGGGAGGAGTCAAACTGCGCCACCCACCACGGCCCCATCACCTGCTTCAGGTGTGGCGCCAGGCCCTTGCTGCCATGGGAACGAGAGAGGAAAAGGCAAGGATGATGCTTGAGCGAATGAACATTAATCTGGAAGGAGAGAGAAGAGGCAGCAGTGACATCATGAGGGAGTGAGACATGGTGCATGTGACGCATCACACTGAATTATGTTGACATTCGAAACTACTATCTGCCACACCAACTCACCCTACACCCTTGACTCGAGTTGACCCACTCACCCCACGCCCTTGACTCGAGTTGACCCACTCACCCCACGCCCTCGACTCGAGTTGACCCACCCACTCACCCCACGCCCTTGACTCGAGTTGACCCACTCACCCCACGCCCTTGACTCGAGTTGACCACTCACCCCACGCCCTTGACTCGAGTTGACCCACTCACCCCACGCCCTTGACTCGAGTTGACCCACTCACCCCACGCCCTAGACTCGAGTTGACCCACTCACCCCACGGCCTTGACGAGCATGGACTCACCCCACGGCCTTGACGAGCATGGACTCACCCCACGGCCTTGACGAGCAGGGTCATGGTGGCGTGTGTGGCGAGGCGCACAGCCCTGCTGCCGTCCACCACCAGCCGCCGGTACTCAAACGCCTGTCAGTGCACGCCATGTGGAGACGACGGCGCGGGAAGAGAAACAAAGAGATGGGAAGAGAAGAGGGAAAGGTGAAGGAGGAGGAAGGCAGTAGCAGTGAGGGAAGAGCAGGATGCATGCTGAGTGGCAAGCTGAATCGCATTTCACCAGTGCCGGCACATGGCATGGCATGGCGTGGCGCAACACCACACCACATGGCATCGAATGGCATACGACAGCATGGCATGGCGCTGTATCATTTCTCACCCAAGCAGGCAGCATGGCTTGCATCTGGGCGGCTGTGCTGCCGCCCAGCACCCCCTGAAGCGCTTCCAGCGCCTTCAGCTGGGGGGAGGGGTCACCGAGGGACGTGGAGGGACGTGGTACAGAGTGGAGGGAGTGGGAGGAGAGGTGTGAGAAAGGGGAGTGGTGTTGGTGGGATGGAGAAGAGCAGAGGCGGCAGGATTGGGGGAAGATCAGCAAAGGGAAGGCACATCAGGAGTGCACATGAAAGTGCGTGTGAAGAGCCACTCTTCTCTGCATGTCCATTCATAATCGCACCACTGCTTGCACTCGCAAATCCAACTGAGCACTATCACAGCCCACCCGCCTGCTCCCACCCCAAGCGCCTGTTGTCTGTCTGCAACGCTCGCCTTGCTCCTGCTGCTCCCGTTGTGCCTGCCACTCCCCATGCTGCACCCACTCACCTTGGTGGTGGCGTCTTTCTTTGCCACTCACCTTGGTGGTGGCGTCTTTCTTCGCCAGCCGCCTCAGATGCGCCGCTGCCTCGCCGCCCACGTCCTGCTCATCACCGCACAGTAGAGGGGCAGGGTGGCGAGGGGTACTGATTGGTGGGGGGGAGTGGTGAACGGGAAACGGCAAAGAGGTTTACAGGCTTGCGGCGCATGAAAGCTGTGCATGCAACACTGCACAACCCCTCTTCTCCCTGTTTCCCCCCTCCCCCTTCCAGCGCTCACTGCCCCAATGACCAGCTCCTTAGGCCCGCTGCCTGCAGAAGCCTCCGCTGCCCCCCCTTGCCCCTCCCGCCCTCCGTCTGCCCCGCCCTCCGCGCTCTCCCTTCCCCCTCCAGCCGCCCCCGCGGCTGCTGTCTGCACCCGCGCACTGCCCACGTATCCCCCGAACCCCACTGGGCGGGGGGCGCTTCCAGCTCCGCCTGCCGCGCTGCCTGCGCCCGCTGCCAGCAGCGAGGCGGCCAGGCTGCGGAAGATATGGGGGAAGGGGGGGGACGGGGGTTGGGGGAGAGGGGATGGTGAATGAGGAGGGGGAGGGGATATGAGGAAATTGCGGAAGCAGAAGCGGCGCCAAGGATGGCATGAGGAGGGCGCTGGGAGGGTCGCCGCCGGCGTGTGAATGGGCAGCGGACGGGACGGTGGGGTGGAAGGGCAGCGGGGAGAGAAGTGTGTGAAAAAGGGGGCAGGAGGGGGGAGAAGGGCGGATGGCGTCGTCGTTTCAGGCGTTCCGTTCTGCTTGCCCCGGAATGTGAATCGGCGATCCGCGACGCGGTATGAAATACGACGATCACCGTGCGGATCCAAGCTGCACGGAATTACACCTAGCAAACACGCAACCACGCCGGCCGAAACTTCCTGATTTCAAACGCCCACACTGGAGCCTGACAAGCCGCAGAGACATCGGAACACGTGGCAACCATCTCGATTCACTACGCGTGTTTCGGGCCATCGTCCGTGGCCCTTACTGAAGTGAAAGCACGCGCACACAGCCTCCTTGGTTTCTAGCGTAACCGGCACCCAACGGTGCGCTCGTGACACACGCACTCGCATTAGCTGAGGTTGCGGCGCACCTGCTGCTGGCTGGTCGATTCTTGGATCGCGCCGCATCGCCGCCCTTCTGCCGCCCCATCGGGATCGCTCACGAGGAGCCTCCCTTCTTGACGGGAGAGCACACAAATCAGACGGCGAAGTGGATTGCGGAAACGGAATCTGTCGGGATATCTCTCAGGTGAGTCCTGGGAAGGCTCACGAAGGTGTCGCAAAACTAAACTCGGCAGCAAATCCAGCAGTGAATTGCTAATGGCAGAAAGATTGGAGAATGGGTGTGATCGAAAAGGAACTGTGAAATGCATGATTGGCTTTTGGAATTTCAGGGTTCGGATGCATATCGAGGCAATTGTATATCGAATATCGTCTAAATTGACGGTTCATTTTCGCAGGTACACGTCATTGGTTGAGCAGGATCCTCTGCAATTGGAGTCTTTCTCTCGCAACCACTTTGAACCGCACAACTAACAGTTTTTACTGTAAAACATAACAATACATCACGCGTCCAAAAAGCGGGTTCAATCACTTTCCCGTTTCAAAGTTTCCTGTTTCCGCCACCTTTGCTACTCGGTACCCGCTAGGCCAGCTAAACCGGCGCGATGGCCGGTGTGCAGGGTGGTGAGGGTGACGACGACGAGTTTTTCAAGAGCGTCTACGCCAAGGGCTACACAGCGCCCGCGCAGGCGCACGCGGCGGTCAAGGCGGAGAAGCGGAAGGGCGGGGACGATGCGGAGGTCGGCAGGCAGCGCGAGGATGCGGGGACGGACGTACCGACAGATTTCGGCGGGAAGTACAGCAAGGCGTGGGAGGCGAAGGCGAAGGCGGCGGAGCGCAACTGGAAGAAGCGGCGCGAAGACGACCTCACATGCAAGATCTGCGGAGAGGCGGGGCACCCCACTCAGGTGCGCGGAGGCGGAGCTGCGCAGAGAATTAGGGGGATAGAGTGGAGAGGGGAGTTTGCGGAAGGTCGAAGCGGCGCGGGCCGACATTGATAGGGATCTCGGCGTCTTAAACGCTAGGTTAAATAAGAAGAAGGGTATTCACTGACCAAGGCTGTCGGAAGCGTCGTTAAACGTCGTCATACATCGCTATTATCGCTACCGCCGCAGGCCCTGGCGAGTCGTCGTGCCGATTAGACTGAGGCGTAGCGCACTGATAGCATCCGCGCCTCGTTCAAAACCCTAACTTTCCCTCCGTTCACCGCAACTTTCTGATTTACCTCCTTCAGGGTTGCCCCACCACTCTCGGCGGGGGCGGAGGTGGAGGGTTTGGCGGGGAGGGGGGCGGGCGGGGGGGCGGCGGAAAGCGCCATGCGCCGTCCGCGGCGCACCCGTTCGCAATCAGCATCGGGGTGGCGGACCGGCGCATGCGGTCGCGGATAATCGGCACGGCGGGCATGGTGGTGCAGGGCCTGGAGAAGCAGACCAACTGCCGCATCCAGCTCGAAGACGATCTCGCCGTCGGCGACGGCGCGTTTATCGTTAAGATTTCTGCGACCGATCGCGACACGCTCGCGGCGGGGGAGAGCGTGGTGCGCGGGTATATTGAGCAGCTGCAATTGGATAGTTTGCGGAAGGGCGGCGGGATACTGGGCGGGCCGGCGGCAGTGCAGATGGCGCTGACGGCGCTGGCGCACGACCCCGCGCAGCAGCAGCTGCAGCAGCAGCAGCGCATGTGGGCGGCGGCGACGGCGGAGGTGGCGGGGGAGGCGGAGATGGTGATTGGGGGGGAGGCGGAGGACGCGACGCTGAGGCTGATCGCGGCGCAGCTCGAGGCGCAGCGGCAGGCGGGCGGAGCGATGGTGGGCGTAGCGGGGATGGCGGCGGATGGGGGGCCGCTGGTCGCAGTGAGGCCCATGGGGGGGATGGGCGCGGTTGGCCCCATGGGGCCGATGGGGGCGATGGGGGCGATGGGACCGATGGGAGCGATGGGAGCGATGCTGCCTGGGAGCGCCATGGGCGCGTATGGGGGACAGGTAGAATCGAGTGGTATGGGTGGTGCAGGTGAGTGCGTGCATGTATGGCATTGGCCACAGCCGCAGCCAAAGTCATATTTATAGGCATGAACATAGCCATAGCCATGGCCTGCTGCACGCTCTTACCTCTCATCGACTTATTGCTGATGAACAGCCAATTGCTTCTCTCCTTTCCCCGCCGTCCCGTTTCTGCGCTGCTCCGCTCATCCCCCGCGCCCTCCCGTTGCCGCCCCGCCCGTACACCCATCCCCTCCACCCGCCAGGCATGCCGATGCTGCAGCTGCCGCCGCAGGGCCCGCTGCCGTCGTCCGTGGAGGAGCTAGAGGCTGTGGTGGCGGCGGAGGCGAGCGCGCTGCAGCAGGCGCAGGCGCGCGAGGAGAAGGAGGAGACGGACCGCCACACTCTGGTGCGCACATGGCTGGATGGGAGGCGACGGGGGAAAAGATGGGGGAAGAGAGAGGGTGGGGGGGTGGGTGGGGATGGGAAGTTAGGGAACGGTGAGGGGGAAGGGATTGTGTGGTGGAGGGTTATGTCCTTGGTGTAGATGGTAGGTTGAGGTTGTGTTATGTGCTTCACCTTGAAGCCGCAGGTCCAGTTGCCTCTCTCAACCACACATTCCTCCTCATCCTCTATCTGCCCGCCATTCTGTCCCCTACCCTTCCCCCCCCCTCCCCCCGGCAGCGCATGGAGGAGATCCGCGGGCGGTTCACAGCGCTGGCGTCAAGCCTGTCGTCGCGGCAGGCACAGCAGCGCGCCCAGGTGTACCTCAAGCTCAGCCAGCAGCACCCCCACCAGTTCCAACCTCCCCCCGCCCAGCCCCGGCCCCCACTGCAGCCGCAGCTTCAGCCCCGCCCCCAGCAGCAACAGCCCCAGAAGCCACAGCAGCAGGCGCCATCTCAAGCCCACGGGCAGCCGCAAGGTCAGGTGCAACCCCAGGGTCAGGTGCAACCCCAGGGTCAGGTGCAGGCTCAGGCGGTGCCACAGGGTCAGGGAGTGGGTCAGGGAGGAGGGGGGTACGGCTATGAGGGCTATGGGCAGCAGCAGACTGGCAACCAGGGTTGGCAGCAGCACCAGCAGCAGCCTCCGCCACAGGAGCAGCTGCAGCAGCAGCAGCAGCAGCAGCAGGGCGCACAGCACAGCTACGGAGGGCAGGGTGGAGCAAACGAGTACAGCCAGAACCCAGGTTATGGCTACTCGGCCCCTACGTCCAACTCTTCTGCTGCTGCTCCCCCTGCTGGCAGTGCATGGAACCAGCCTGCACCCCATGCCGAGGCTTATGGCGGTGGGTACTCTGCTCCTGGTGCAGCACCAGCAGGGGGCGCTGCTCCTGGCTACAATTATCACCAGCAACAGCAACACCAGCACCAGCACCAGCAGCAGTACCCCCCCGGTGCCAACCCTTCGCCAGGTGCAGGGGCAGCTGGGCCAGGAGCGCCAGGTGCTGGGCAGTACCAGTCGTATGAAGCAAACGGTTACCAGCAACCACCTGCCCCTGGTGCAGCCAATGCAGGCTATTATTCTGGTTATGGCAGCGGGCAGCAAGGTCCAAATGCGGGGGCACCAGGTGCAGGACCTCCTCCAGGAGGTTATTATGGGTCTGGATACTAATTGTACATCATGTCTTAAATTCTAGTTAAGCAGCCATTCCTGATTTTAGTTGCTCGTGCAAGTTGATTCAGAAACGGATAAATGTGAGTCGCGATTTGTAACGCGTATTAGGAAGTCTAGTTCCGATAGAACTGAACGACCAAGATGTAGCAGGGGCAGGTTTTCCACCGTGCGGAACATTCCATCACCTTGGGAACGTCCTCTGCCCTGCTGGGCCGCACATTCGGGATCTCCCGCTGACCGCGTACAATCAGACTTCACAAACGTGTGTGCCAATACCGACTTGCCCAACCAGAACTCCCCCCGTCCCCGCAACCACGTCCCATATAAGCCACCGAACCTAAAACTTGCCTGGCTTCCCACTTCGGTTGAATTTGATTGGCTCGGAACAGCGGTGACCCCGAAGTCTGGCAGAGAAGTCCCCCGGGGCTGCAACAGTCTCTGCTGGTCGTCCTTGCGAAAGGGTCCGCATGGGGGAACAGCACCGCGGAGGATGCTGTTGCTGTTGCAGGGAAGGAAGGGAAGCAGTGCGGGGTAAGGGGAGTGCCGAAGCTGACTCGTTCGTGGGTCTGCCTAGGCAGGGAAGGAAGCATCCCCATTCGCGCAATGGACACGCAATTATAGGAGTGCGCCGCCGTCCGCCTGGAACTCACGCGCGCGCTATCCGTGAGCGCTAAGGTTGATCATGCTCTGCTGGAGCAGCGCCGTGCGCCACCGCAAGGGCGGAGAGACAGCCGTGGCGGCATTCCCGAGGGCAGTCAGCGGACCGGAACGACCAACCAAACCCGAGGCCAGTCAGAAGCGGCGGCAAAAGTGTAGTCAGGCGTGCGCACCTGGCACCCGCCTGACCCACATCACCCGCCTCGCCCGCCCCTCCTCCCCCAACTCCACGCAGCTCTCTCTGCTCAATGCCTCGCTGTTCCTCTTCTTCCCTCCTCCCACGGGTCAGTGTCCCAAGTTCGTCTCAGTCTCGGATGGTAAACGCTCAGCTGCTTTGCTCCACCCACTGCAACCAGTGCATCCATCGTTCATGAACACATTTCTGATCACTGCTCACCAGCCTGGCCAGGTATATTAGCAATTTATACCTCACGACTCGCCACTGGTGCATCTTTCATGAATGTGTTCCAGAGAACAAGTTCTTGCATCTTCGCCACCTAAATAAGTAGTTTTACCTGATTCAGGGAGCAATATCTTGCAGCTTCGCCACCTAGATAAGCAGTTTTACCTCACTCTCTGCCAGCCACGTGTCCCTGACCCACGTCCACCGTTTTGCTCCTAACTGAAGTTCTTGAAAAAACCACCAAAAGTGTCTATCGAGATTATTCAGCTTCAGCCTTTGTTAACCACGCGTCTAACAGCCCACTTCAGGCAGAGCAAACCATGGCATTGCGTGTGTCATTCCGATTCCCGCGGGCTCGCATTTGGTCGATGTTAGTGATCAACGTGTCGTATCTACTCATAGCCACCGGGGTAGTGTACCTGGGGTTACTGGTAGTAGGCGGCGGGTCGGAGGCGCGGACGGAGTGGGACACGGGGAACATCGACGCGGTGGATCAGGACATGTTTCGGCGAGCCATGGAGCAGCCCACGCAGACGGATCTCGCGGCCGTGCAGCCCAAGATCGCGTTCCTCTTTCTCGTCAGAGGACCGCTTCCGCTCGAGCGAGTCTGGCAAAGATTCTTCCAGGTGCGCGTGGCTCTGCTTGTGCGACAATCGCGACAACATTCTTCCCTATCGCACCTTGGTGTTAGCCGCCTATCCGCCTTCGCATATTTTTCTCTTTTTTTTCGGGTCGCGGTGCGCCTGCGCGTGCCTCTCCGCCTCGCAGCTTCTGCGATCGTCCGGTGGCGGCGATGCTAGTTCTCGTGTGCGTGGCATTAAATGCCCGCCTTCAGTCACTGCTCCAGGGATTGTTGTTTGGACTTCGCATACTCCATTCCACCGGTTTTAAGCTAGGTTTCACTTATGAGGCACGGCACCAAGCGGAGAACCTGTCTCGTCGCCATAATCGTGCTATTCCGCTCGCCGTTATCTCATTCTCTCCGTGTCTCCCCCACTCCGCGTACCATCTGTCCCCCAATGTGCGCGCGGCAGGGCCACGAGGGGCGCTACTCCATCTACATCCACGCCTCCACCGCCGATTACGAATGCGACAAGCACGTCAACTCTTCCGTCTTTCGCGGCCGCCAAATACCCAGCGTTCCTGTAAGCCCGCCCGCACTCTCGGCTATTCCGCAGGCCCCTCTCTTCGCCGGAGTTCGTCTGCCAGGCGTCCCCACGGCAGGTTCTCCGTCCACTTTCTCGCGTTTCTCGCTTCCAGTAGTGCTCGAAGTGGCGCGTCATCATGGAACCACTTCACTCGTGTCATGTACCGTCTTGCCTTGCCTCGCCCCGTCGTGTTCCGTACTCCTTCGCGTTCCTCCTCACTCTCCCTCCTCTCCGCGCCCATCCCCCCACTCCCCCTCTCCAGATCACGTGGGGCGGTCCCAACCTCATCCGCGCGGAGCGCCGGCTGCTCGCCGCGGCGCTTGCGGATCCCGCCAACCAGCGCTTCGTTCTGCTGTCGGAGTCGTGAGTACGGGAAAGGGGTGGAGATTGTAGGGGGTGGAGTTGTGCTCCTTGCGGGGGAGGGTGGGGAGGGAGTCGTGGCGAAGTTCTCGCGGATTGAAATTTAGTGTAGCGCGCTCTCTTAGCACGTGTCACCAGCCGATTGGCAGGCATAGGATGATAAGCGCATGTGCCAAGCACACCGCCTCAATGCTTCCCTCCTCGCCTCCCTCCCCCTTCCCGCCGCCCCCTGTTTGTTCTCCCCCTTCCCCACCCTGCTCGCCGCTGCCCGTCGCTGTGGTGGGCGCAGGTGTCTGCCGCTGTTCAACTTCACGCACGTCTTCGACTACCTCATGGCGTCCGACAAGAGCTTCGTTACAAGGTATGCTTCGTTACGAGGTAGCGCACCGTAGCCAGCTTGTGTGAAGTCGTAGCGTGCGAAAAGACGAGGAAAAACAAAGGATATACATATTCTTGAAGCAAAGTACGTGACAAACAATCCCTCTCTCTTCCCGCCTCACCTCTCTCACCTTGCTCTTTTGATTCTCATCCGCGCTAATGCTCTCTGCTCCACCCATTTGTCCCTCCGGCTAACCATCTGTCCTCTCCCCTGTCCACCTCGCCTTCCCGATCCTCCTCCTCTCCCCTCCCTTCCCCGTGCGTGCGAGCAGCCATGCGAGCGTGTGGCGGTACCGCAAGGAGATGGCGCCGGTCATCAAGGGCCAGGACTTTAAAAAGGGATCGCAGGTGAGCCGCGTGGGAGGCACAGTTGAGGCGCTGGGGGGGCGCAGGTGAGGCACTTGGGTGCACAGTTGAGGGACTTGAGGGCGCAGGTGAGGCGCTTGGGGGGCGCAGGTGAGGCGCTTGGGGGCGCAGGTGAGGCGCTTGGGGGCGCAGGTGAGGCGCTTGGGGGGCGCAGGTGAGGCGCTTGGGGGGCGGAGGTGAGGCGCTTGGGGGGTGCAGGTGAGGCGCTTGGGGGGCGCAGGTGAGGCGCTTGGGCTGTAGGCTTGTTGCTGTGAGCCCCTTTCTGTTTGACCATTTGAGTCCACTCAACAGGCACCTCTGCTGCGGCTCAACTTGGACTATCCTCCCGCCCTGTGGCTTACACCTGTTCCCCTCCCGCCCACCTTCCGTGCGCGTGTACGTGTGCAGTGGTTCGCGCTGACGCGAGCGCATGCAGCAAAGGTGGTGGAGGACAGCAAGTTCTACGAGACCTTCGTCAAAACTAACGCTGAGGTGCGCCCCACTGCCCCCATGCGCCTCTCACATGTTCCCCACTCCCACGCTGCATCATCGCCCATTTCGCCTTTGAGCCTCGCCCTTCCCTCCACCCAGACTAGCTTGCTTGCTTACACTCGCATTCTTCCTGCCCTCGGTCTCTCCATGCGTGTCTTGCCTGTGCGCTGCTTGCAGATTCCCGACGAGAGCTACATTCAAACCATCCTTGCTGTAAGCACCTAAGCCACTGTCACCCCACACCTCGCACGTTCCTGACTTGCTGTTGTTCTCTGAAGTTAACTGAAACGCGCTGCCTTCCTCACCATTGCCTGCTGCTCTCTCCCTCCTGCCTGTCCTCTCTGCCGTTCAGATGCTGGACCGGAAGGCGGTGGAGCCGCGCAGTGTGCTGTACGTGCACTGGTTCACGTCCTCGTCCAGCCACCCCATGAGCTACAGCACGAGTCAAGTCACCAGGGAATTCATCCTCTCCTTGCAAGTACGTCCCCACCCCTCCATCTCTTCACCTGCCTGCCAGTCCTTGATGAGTCCTGTCTGTGCCTTTTGGTTCTGTCTTGACCGGTTCAACTGATCCGTCTGGTTGCCTTGCTGTGTTGCAGCGGAGTCGATTCCCACCAGCTGAAACAGTGGGCTACCTCAAGCAGTCGCCCTCACGGCCATGCACAGTGGCAGGCCGGCCCACACACTGCTTTCTCTTTGCCAGAAAATTCGACCAAGAAGCCGTGCCGGCCTTCCTTGCGTTGCGCGATATAATTGGCTTCTGATCTTGTTTGACTTGCCTGCTCGCAAGAGTGGTTGCAGTGCTAACCTGTTCGGTTGGCGGGGTCCATTGTTTGGTAGACTACTGTAGCTACTAATGTGTATAGGTAGCTGTAAGAAAAACGTTCAAATCTAGAGCAACACACTGCCCACTGAAGCCAAGTTTCACATTCAACTCTCCTGGCTGCAATGAACAGAAAATGCCCACTTTGGAAGAGACATGATCCAGCTTTGAAAGATGCCTAGTAGAGCAATGCACAGCACTCTAATTCTCATCAAATTCAGGACTACCAGCACAGAGCCTAAAAGCGTAGTATCCTTATGGTGTGGGAACATGGGAGCCTCTGTAAGGGCCATGCCCCGTACCAGCTGGGTGTGGAGAGGATCAGAGCAGAGCATCAACAATGTCCGGCAGGCCTGGGGACAAACGACACACGCATAGATCATGTAGAGTACAGGCTAGCAACAGCCATTTATGTTCATCCTATGCTCATCTCTGAACCATAGGCACTCGGGGAGTCACTAATTCAGCCTAGAAATAGAAAACCTACCGTAGCACCCGAACTGTGAATCAATCTACAGGGCGACAGCAACCCTACATTGCCTTGCCCGCCGCGTCCGCCTTGCTGGCCGCGTCCGCCTTCTTGGGGTCGTCGGCGGGGTAGGTGCCGAAGACCTTGTCCCAGAAGGAGTTGGTGATGCCGAATCCCGCGTTGTACTCCTTGAAGTGGTGCGCCATGTGGTAGCGCCGCAGGAAGCGGATCCACTCGAGCTCGAGCGGCACGCCGAAGTGCACGAAGTAGTGCGTCATGTCGTAGCAAATGTACCCGAAGATGGCTCCCGCGTACACGGGCCACACCAGGAACCCCGGGAACACCACGAAGAACGGTATCGCCACCACGGTGGACAGCGTCGCGAAGAGCACAGGCGGCATGACGAGGCGAAAGCGGTCCTGCGGGTGCTTGTGGTGGCAGCCGTGCAGCAGGTAGTGCAGCGTGTTGGTCCAATACCCCGTCGTGCGGTAGTGGAATAAGAAGCGGTGTAGACTATACTCCATCAGCGTCCACACCACCAGCCCCAGCGCGAAAAACGGCGCGACGAGAACCTTGGGCGTGCCGGCGAGCGCGGCGCGGTACTCGGCGAAGGCGATGACGGGAAGCCAGACGAGCGGGATCATCCACCAGTGCGTCTGCGTGAAGAACTCCATCCAGTCCGGCCCGAAGAGGCGCGGTCCCGTTCTGCTGATGATGGGTTGGTGCACCCAGTCGTCATAGTGCTCCCCCAGATACCCCACCTGGAACACCAACGGCTTCGTCAGATCCGGCTTGAACGGAACCGCCTGCTTGCCGGAAGCTCTTCCGGCTGATGAGGGCTGCGATGGTTGCGACATGGCATTAGGAGCCATGTAGCGGCTCCGGGTCTGTCTAGAGTGGGAAATGGAGCAGGCTTTCCTAAGGACGTATCGCTGAAGGATTCACCCGGGAAGGATGAGACTAGGTGTACTTAGCAGTGGTGGAGCGGAGATCCCGACGTTAGTCGAGATTCGAGATGGCAGGGTGAATAAATTCTCGCGGACATGAATTGTGATCTTTATTGTCAGACGGTGATGGGGCCCGTCGGTAGGAGGGACAGGCGGGAATATTTGGAGGGAAGGATTCAGGAACGAGTGATGGATTCACGGGCAGCGAAAACATAAGTTTAATGCGTGACTTCCCAGAACCTGGTGCCCTTTCGTCCAACACTTGTGCCACCTTAGCTGCCCGGCTAAAGCTCCAACCGCTCCTATTCGCTGACCTCGGGCAGGGGTGGCATGGACACGCCTCGCTGGACACAAACTCTTCATTCTGTCAGTAGGACATCGTACTGCACTAGGAAGAATCTCCATAGCAGGGATCCACCACACTCCATCGTTAGTTATCTTATTTACTTGCATAGCTAGATTCGCTACATGCAGAATAACGTGATAACCAGGCCCAAAAATTTCAACATATACACCACATAAAACTGAGTTATGTAATTTGAGAACCAAAATATACGTTATTTCATGACCAAGTATTGAATAACAAATATAGGTAATCATGGGGTATATGAGATACATTAGACTAAATGTTCCTCATTCATCAAGTGTTTAGAGACCTTGGAAAAGACACAGTCCTCGATTCAATAACAAGATGTGCTCATGTGTTATGTGCTCGCTGTGGTTCACATAATCTGAAGCTGTTTGGTCGTGATAGAAAAGCCCTAGGCCTAGCAGGGCAGGGAGTTATGGTGGTTGGGCAACTGCCCTCACCCAGCCCTCACCCAGCACGAACAAAGTAGTCCTTAATACAGAGTACTTCTGTTTTTATTTTGCCCTGTTTTGGTTCAGAGTTTTGACGTTCTGTTATGGTCGTATCCAGCAAGCATGGCATAGGCAAGAATGGTCCTCAACCGCCGAAGCCAAAAGGGCCTTAGATAAACATCAGTACTTCTGGTCCGTAAACACGGTAGAGGTCATTCTACGCCCCCACTGTATGTCCCAAGCCGGGCGTAAATGGTATGTGAAGTGCCTCTGACGTGTCGAGGTGCCTTTTGCAACCTTCGAAACTTTCCTACACATCAAACTGTTTTGAACATGCAGAGGATTTATAATGCATGACTGAATTTGAAGGGGTAGTTCCATAAGAATCAGGCAGGTTCAGGCGTTTATAAGGCAAGCCGCGTCGGGGCCCCACAACGCAAACCGTTGCGGGTATTCCCGCGCCTTGGCGCTTCAACAACGTACGTGCTTGTACACAGTGTCACCGTGCCTCTTCCAGGCTCATTGTCCGTTTGCAGCCCTAGCGTTGGCCGAACCTACATCTTGGCATATTTGATCTGAAGCCTAGTTCGGCGACCACTTCAGTGCCTCGCCCCCACCACCGGCTCACCGCCCTCAGCTCTAGGGGGACAAGTATGGCGCGAGAAGGATGGATGGGCCGAGGCATCCACGGACCATTAGCAGCACCCAGGCGGAACAGCGCGCCAAGCATGTTTGTGGCAGTGGGCGGAGGCAAGGAAGCGGATCACAATTTGCGTTCCGGCGGGTGGTGTTGTGTGGCCCTCCTCGGGCTTGGCCAGTGGTGGTGGTCACTCACAGCCGTGCGAAGGCACCGAAACCTAAACGGGATGTAACAAACAAGAGCAAGAAGAGGCGGTGAGGAAGGACGAGTTGATTCTGGAGGGAAGCGGAGAGCTGTGCGGAGGTTGTCGTGAGTTTCTTGAAGCTTTGCCCATGATGAGTCAACTCTGCTCCTCACATTACCAACCATCCTGATAAGTTGCATGCCAGCATCAATCCTGCCGTGCTTGACGCTCTGCTTGCTTCTCAGGATAACTTTCAGTTATTAAGTTTCAGCCTAGGGGCCTCCGACGTTAGCGAAGCTAAAAAAAAATAAAGCACACGACTTCTCTACTAGGTGCATCTGCGTGGTTTAGGTTTGACTCATAGTACGACGGGCAGCAGGGCTTCACATCGACAATCTGCCGGTCCCTAGATGGGAGCGTGCACAGAGCCAGGGCCGTTGGAGCGCGACAGTAGATGTTCGTCCACGCTAAGCCCGCCATTTCTTAGGTCGCAGCCGCACTCGCTCCACTCCTCCAGACACAGCAGCGCCCACCCGCTCACCGCGTCGTCGCACTTCGCGTCGCCGTATGCGTCCGTGCTCTGCGCCATCTCTCTCAGCCCCACCGCCTCCTGGCCGCGCCTCACCATGCGGAACTTTGGACTGCCGCGCCTGTGGCTGCTGCTAACCGTCTTCACCGTCGCGTCGCTCGGGCTCGTCGCCGTCCGGTTGCACCCTGCGAAGCCGAGAGTAGCGGCGGTTCCAGCGAGGGCCGTGAGAGTGATGTTGGATCAGACTCGCGAGGGCGTGTGCGGCAACCAAATACGAGACCTTGGCCGCAGCAATGGTGCGATAAGACCGGAATTGGAGTGGCCGTCGTCGTCGACATCCGTGCCGCGACGAGCTCTCGACGAGACCGACAGACCACCACAGTCGTTCCTCGCGTCGCTTACCGCCTCGTCCGCCAAACAACCGCCTTCCGACCAACCACTCACCAGTAAACCATCCGCGACCTGTTCGAAATGCAGGTATGTCGCTACGACGTCTCTTGCGCGCACGTTTCTCTGTCCGTGTTTCAAGTGGTGAATCACTTGAGATTGATTCGAGCAAGCTGTTAGCGCGTTTTTATGTTGTGGAGCGTGTTGCTGTTCCGTCACTTTTTTATCGCCGCAGCCTTGTCGATTGTGACGCGCTTTTCGGTTCGCGCGGCTCTCGTGCTGCTTCCCCTGCGCCTCTCCTCTTTTCCCAATCTGCTCCATTGTCCCGCCCCTCTCCCCATCCCCGCGCGTCCGTCGTCGTCAGAACGCTCAAGGAGGTGCTTGACGGAGCATTAACGGCCGCCGGCGGCGATCCGTCAGCAGCGGCGGCGCTAGCGGCGGCGTTGGAAGAGGAGTACGGCGAGCCCAGCGGGCTGCTGGACCTGGATCGCCCGTTCCCCGAGGCGCCGCAGCAGATGACGGCGGCGGCAGAGGATGGCGGCGACGGCAAGTTGGCCGCCGACAACGTGGTGGAGGCGTCGGCGGCGTCGTCGCTGTCGCGCACGGTGATCGTGACGGCGCTGTCGGAGGCGTGGGCGCCCATGATGCGCTTCTTCCTCGACCGCCTCCGCCTCGTCGAACAGCAGGCGCGCGCGGAGGGGGAGGCGGAAGCGGAGGGGGGGCTGAACCGGCTGGTGGATCGGCTGGTGGTGGTGGCGTACGACGACGCGAGCTTCGACGAGTGCTGCTCGCTGGGGCTGCACTGCTACTTCGACTGGCAGGACGACGCGGAGGAGAAGGAGGACTTCAGCGGCGACCAGAAGCACTTCATGACGCCCGCGTACATCCACCTCGTGTGGCGCAAGGTGCACGTGGTGCGCAGCATGCTGGCGCTGGGCTACGACGTGGTGTTCACGGACAACGACATCCTCTGGCTGCGCAACCCGCTGCCGCAGCTGCTGCTCGCCGCGCCCGAGGACATGCACATGAGCGTCGACTGGTGGAACGCCGACTCGCGCAAGGTGATGGGCAACGGCGGCTTCTACGCGGCGCGCAGCAACACGCGCATGCTCAAGTTCTTCGACGACTGGATCGCCTGGCACAAGCGGTGAGCGCCCTCGCCCCACTCGCCCCTCCCTGCCGCAATGCTGCCATCTCTCGCGCCTGCCTCCTACTGCCCGCTGCTTCCGCGCCCGCTTCTCCCACACCAGCTCTGCTTGGCCCCGCTCTCTCTCTCTCTCACTCCCACTCGAACTATTTCTCCGTTCCCTCCTCCCACCCTCTCCCGCTCCTCCCTCCCCCTCCCCGTGGCGTGTGCGCGGCAGGCTACCGAAGCACCGCATTCAGCAGATCTTCGACTGGATCCGCCCCGAGGCCAACCCCTTCACGCGCACCGCCACGCCGCTCACCGTGCGCTACCTGCCGACGGCGCACTTCGGCGGGTTCTGCGAGATGGGCGCGCGGATGGCGGAGCTGGTGACGGTGCACGCCACGTGCTGCTTCGGACTCGACTCCAAGCTGCGCGTGCTGCGCAAGGTCGCCGCGGACTGGGACTGGATGCGCGCGCTGCCCCACGACGTGGGCGAGAGCCTGGAGGAGCACGGGTTCGCGTGGCAGAGACGCTCGTGCGCCAAGGACTGATAGCCGCGCGCGCGTCACGGGAAGAGGGCGGGGTACGCACTGCCACTCCATTCTATTTATTTTGCAGCCGGCTGCCGCTTTGGGGCTGCTGGTCCAGTGAACGGCGCACGAGGCGCTGAGCATTTTGTTTTTCCAGCGTAGCCGTTGTGGGGCAAGTCGTGGACGCGCTGTGCATGCACCACCCATCCATCATCCGCACATCCATCCATCCTGCCATCTAGCCATCCAGCCGCCAGCCACCCAGCCACCCCAATAGCGCGTGTAGCAGGGTAGGATTGCGCGTGCGGGTGCAGGAGCGGCAGGCGAGCAAGCTAACCCACTGAGCGCGGAGTGCGAGGCAGCCTCCTCTCGAGACTGCCGGCAGCCCCCCTGCCGCCCCCTGCCGCCCCCTGCCCTCTGCAGCATCTTTCCGCTGCCGTCCCTGCATGCACGGGGGGTTGGGAGCCGCTCAGCGGGGCAGCAGCGCATCTGCAGGTGAAGGTGGTGTGGCAGGCAGCAGAGCAGCAGGCACGGGGTGGGCCATGGGGCATGGCTTAGGGCTGAGGGCGTGTGCAGTGCGGCGTGATGGTTGATGGAATAAGGCGTGGGCTTGCACAGGCGCATGGCAGGCAGGGGCAGCAGGGATGGGATTGGGAGCACGAGTGTGGGCCATGGCGGTGTGGGGATGGATGGGTGCGAGCAGGCTGTGGCAGCACGCTGATGCAGCAGGGTGCAGGTGGGGTGCAGCAGGGCGGTGTGGGGAAGACAAGGCGTGTCCGTGTGTGGCGAGGCCACTGGCATGCGATGGTGTTGGAGACGGCGAGTCCACTGTGCGCCTCAACTGGTGCTGCACAATGCAGCGCCTCAACTGGTGCTGCACAATGCAGCGCCTCAACTGGTGCTGCACAATGCAGCGCCTCAACTGGTGCTGCACAATGCAGCGCCTCAACTGGTGCTGCACAATGCAGCGCCTCAACTGGTGCTGCACAATGCAGCGCCTCAACTGGTGCTGCACAATGCAGCGCCTCAACTGGTGCTGCACAATGTAGCGCCTCTGACCAGCACTCCTTCACCTTCCTGCATGCCAAAGGCAGCCGCAGCACTCTGGCTGCTGTAGAAGAGCCGCTGCTTAGTTTGTAGGGTTTGAGTCGTAGGATTGCTGTGCGCTAAAGATTTATAGGCTATGGGTTTCCCATCCCAGTCATGATATTTATAGCAGTAGAGGGTGAATTCTTCAGACTGTTGACCCAGGC